GAGGCCTACAGTATGGTGGCGAGTGCGCGTCTGGGCCCTCGTGATAGAGAGGCATAAGAAACCAACCGACTAGTCGTCCTCGGGGGTTGGTCCTGATGACGTGTCGTATTTTCTGGCAGACGCTTAGGGCCCAGGAGCCTGGCGCCGAGCAGAGCAAGGCCAGCGAGATCGCTGTTGTGCGGAGTTGCCAGTCGCTCCCCACTCCCTCGAGGGCCCCTGCTTCTTCGTAGGCCCAGCTTTCCGGTAGGCCTGCGGCGTGGGCCATCATATGTCTCCAAGCTCCTAGGAGTTCGCCCGCGAGCCAGGTCGGGGTGAAGTCGGAGGGGCCCGGCTGGGTGGGGAGTAGAGATGCTCTGCGATCGGGGCATACCGCATGCCCGCCCTGACAGGCTGCAGCAGCAGAGCGGTGTCCAGGAGGTCGAGGGCATGCCTGTTGGTTGGTTGGCCCGGACCTGCTCCCGGGTGTCTTGGCGGCACGTCATCTGCCCGTGGCCCCCCAGGGTTGTAGCTCCACGGGTTGGCCAGCCTGTGACAGGCAATGCAGATTCGCCCTGCGGGATCTCGGAGCACCCAGGTGCCGCAGAAATCACATCTCTCTCTTGGGCAGAAAAAGTTCCGCAGCCGCAGCCGATGCGCTGCAGTGGTCCATGGCCACACGTTGTCGCTGTTATCGCTTCCTTGAATGGGCACTCCAGGGATGCCCGTTGAGCTGGCGGGCATCCCCGAGAGGGCGGACTCTACCCATGGCACTGGGCCTCTCCCAACTTGTCGTCTCGAGTGCACGTCGTTCCCCAGCCGTTCGAGGTTCCCTCTCGTGATGGTCCACTGCCTGACGTTCCCATGGTCCGGAAAGTGGACTATATTTTGCCTGCGCTCGTGAATTAAGACTCTGTGCGCATACTCCCTGGTCTCGTCATCCGTGGGGCCCTGCGCCCCGTCTGGGCGGTTGGGGCCACTGCTGTGCCAGGGGACAGCGTCCTCGGGAGATCTGGTGGGCATGAGCATCCTGTCTGTGTCGAACCCGCTCGGGAGCTCCATGCCGACGTCGCAATAATGCGCAGCGGCGACCATGGCAACGTATTCGAGACGAGCCAACTGTCTCTCCGTCACTGAGGGGTCGGCGGCGTCTAATCTCTCCCTTCTTATGCAGGGGTCATGGGTAATGCTCGCAAAGCGAAAGGCGAGGACCTGTACTGGGTCAGGTTGCACGCCTCCCAGACGCCCTTCGTAGTCTCCTCCAGTGACAGACCAGACAAGCCAGGAGTGGTCCAAGATAGCGAGGATAGGGGCTGAAGTGCCTAGTTCCAAGCCGCGCCCAGGGAGGGCGGCTTCTGCGGGGGCAGCCCGCATGGGGCTGTCGCCTCGAATGCCTGGATGGCCTGGGCGGTGCCCCCTCCACGCACGGTGCGTGAGAAGCTCCAGATTACTGGTTTCGCGCGGGATTCTCGGGGCTCCACGGTCGGGGACCTCGCGCCAAGGACCGTCGATGCGCACCAGGTGCCGACGGAGGGCACTCATGGTGCCCCCCCTGCCGGCGATCCTGGCGTCCGCCACGCGCGGGCCACACATGGGTCCCTCGGCCTCCCGGCGAGCCGCCCAATCAGCATTCGTGCGCCCTGTAGCGCCCAACCACCGGGCGTGGAGGTCAGCGGCGCCTTGCCTTCTAATCCTCAGTGCTTGACTGGGGCCCTCAGCATCCGAGGGGGCGGGCGGATTCTCCATCCGCAACTCCTCCTCCAGGGCGAGGTCTGGGGATGGGAAGGAGGGGGGGTCGACAAGGACAGAGCCCCCGTGCGCAGCCTGGCTCACCACGAAAGGCGAGCCGTTGTCCGTCCAAAGGAGGGGCCCCCGCTCTACGCCTTGTGACGAGTACTCAAGGCCGCGACGCCACCCGCCGAGCGGGCCATCAGGACACTCGAGCCCTGGAGGCGGGTCAGGAGGGGAGAAGTCGGGAGAAGAGCTGGTGGGCGAGGGAGGGAAGGCGCGGGGCGATCCAGCGGCAGCGATCGGAGATCGATCGGTCCGATCACCCAACGGAGCGGCCCCGATCGCGGGATCAGGAGCGATCCTGGAGGCCTTGAGCGAGGGGGGAAGTCCCATGGGCCGCCCAGCCGCCGCCCCCACGGAAGGTCTGTTGCGATCGGTCCTCTCTGTGGAGGAGGGCACCTCCCTGCGACCACTAACATCATGATTAGCCGACTCTCGCTCTCTTCCTTCTGGCTGAAGGCTGGCCTCGCCGTCAGATCCAGGGAAGCGACTGAAGGTCGCAATATCTGTGTGTATCGCAGGGATGAACGCATCACCCCCTCCTCCAGCGGCGCGTCTGCCGTTCTCACCTCCAGGGAAGCGACTGAAGGTCGCAACGTCAGTGTGCATACTGTCTACGCCCTCCCTACCAACCCCTGTGGGAGCCAGGTCCCTGGTCCTCTCTTCAACGTCACAACGGTCACTGGGTCGAACGCCGTGGGCCTCCCTCTGCCTGCAGTCATCCGATCCAGGGAAGCGACTGAAGGTCGCAAGATCTGTGTATCGCAGGGTTGAATGCATCACCCCCTCTTCCAATGTCGTGACTGCCGCTCTCAGGTCCATGGAAGCGACCGCGCGCTGCGTCGGCGTCAGAAAGCGCTCCAAGGGCTGAAGGCGCATCTTCTGCGTTCAGCTCGCGGCCGACGGCTGCATCACTCGGCGCGGGCGCGTCCAGGAGGGGGGGCTCGGCGGAGTGTAGGCGCGAGCCTCCATGAAGCGAGTCGGGACTACGGTCAGGCGCCTGCCCGTCTCTCCTGCCGACGCTCTCGCGAGCGCCCCCTGGGGGTGTCAGTTCCCTGGGCCCCCCCTCCACGTCGCAGTGGCCCCTGGGTCGGACGCCGAGGGCATCCCTCTGCCCCTCGTCAGCGCGCCTACGAGGACCCGGGTCCGTGGGGGGGGTCGCTTGAACAGGAGTGGGGTTCTCGCCCCCCGTCCACCTGGCGTCGCCGAGGGCAGTCCCAATCCGCCCAGCATCGCCTGGGGGGAAGGAGATTGGGCGCCCAGCAGTGGGCATGTGAGCGGTACGGGTGAGAGAGGGGGGTAGGCTAGGCGGGAGGGCGTCGCGCGCGCCGTCCTCACATCCAGGGAAGCGACTGAAGGTCGCAACGTCAGTGTGCACACTGCCTACGTGCTCGCGACCACCCCCTGCGGGAGCCAGCTCCCAGGTCCTCTCCTCCACGTCACAACGTTCCCTGGGTCGAACGCCACAGGCATCCCTCTGTCTGCCGTCATCCGATCCAGGGAAGCGACTGAAGATCTGTGCGTATCGATGCATCACCCCCTCCTCCAGAGTCATGCCTGCCGCTCTCAGGTCCATGGAAGCGACCGAGCGCTGCGTCGGCCTCGGAGTGCGCTCCAGGGCCGGAGGGCCCGTCTTCGATGCTGACCTCGCGGCGGAGGGCTCCTTCACTCGGCTCAGTCGCGTCTAGAAGGGGGTGCTCGGCGGAGTGAGGGCACTAGCCTCTGCGAAGCAAGTCGGGGCCAGGTGCAGGCGTTTGCCCGTCTCCCCCCCCGACGCCCTCGCAAGCGCCCCTCGGGGGAGGCGGATCCCTAGCCCCCCCCTCCACGCCACAGGGGTCTCTGGATCTAACGCCGAGGGCCCCCCTCTGACCCTCGTCCGACTGCCTACGAGGGAAAGGAGCCGTGGGGGATTAGCTGTTTCAGGAGTGGGGCCTTCGCCCCCCGTACATCTGGCATCGCCGAGGGCGGTCCCATTCTGCCCAGTACCGCCTGGAGAGGAAGAGAATGGGCGCTCAGCAATGGGCATGGGAAGGGTTGGGGTGAGAGAGGGGGATAAGCTAGGCGGGAGGGCATCATGCCTGCTAGCATCACATCCAGGGAAGCGACTGAAGGTCGCAATATCAGTGTGAATCGGGGGGGTGAACGAATCAACCCCTCCTGCCGCGACGCGCCTGCCGCTCTCAAATCCAGGGAAGCGACTGAGGGTCGCAAAATCAGTGTGCATCGCAGGGCTGAGAGTTTCAACCCCTCCCTCCGTTTGGCTGAGGGCCAACTGATCTGGTGCGCATGAGGCGTCGGCAGAAGCATTCCCACTCCAGGGAGCAGGGGGCGAAGGCTGTCCAGGCGGGATGGTGTCCTGAGGTCCAGGGCGAGGATGTCCCGAGTCAGTCGGTCCATCGACCCCAAGGTCGACGACTGGTGACGCGGCCCTCGTTGCCACAAGGATGGCAGGATCACCGCCGATCGATCGCCCATCCATGCTAAGCCGAAGGGCCGGGCACGTAGCCGTAGACGAGGAATCCAGGGAGTCTGCAATGGCGGCCCAGCCCCGGGGGAGACGCGCGGCAAAAAAGACTCCTAGGGGAAACCCCTTGGACTGGGAGACCTGGCCGAGGGACCAGGGCCCAGAGACGGCCTTGAGCCAGAGGCTTGAGCCAGCGAGCGTCAAGAATTTGCGAGCTTGGGTTCAGAAGTTCCCATGGCGTCAGAGAGAAACGCCAAACTGGAGAGAACTCCCAAACAGCATGCCAGACTTCGCAGAAGCCCTGGCCGAAGCCTCAAATGTTGCCACGACCTACAAATACCCCTGAGAACCATCCCTGTGTCAAAACGGAGACCGCTGGTTTCGCCGACTCCTGGTTTCGCCTGGCTTGTTTCGCCGACGCTGGTTTCGCCTCGCTGGTTTCGCTGACTCCTGCTGGTTTTGCCCGGCTGGTTTCGCCGACCGTTCGCATGTTGGCAAGCCCGCCGCCCACTTTCATGTCCCCCCCCTCCCGACCCGCCCGTTAAGGTCCCGCCCGACCGACCCGCACGTTGGGGTCCCGCCCGCCCGACCCGCCCGTAAGGGTCCCGCCCGCCCGGCCCGCCCGTCAGGGTCCTGGCCGCCCGACCGGCCAGTCGGCGAAACCAGCCCCGGCGAAAAACTGCCGTCGTCGAAGCCAGCCCCGGCGAAACCAGCGGCCAGCGAAACCAAACGAGCACAACCAGCGCCAGCGAAAGCAGCCCATGTCTGCCTACACACCCCTGCTTTGAAGCAACCGCGTCCCAGGTGGCCTGAGGAGCAGACGATCCTCCGCTGCCGCGCTGGCCGCGACCACATAGCAGCGCAGCGTCGATTGTTGCTGGCACGGCCCTGGCGCCCACTGCTGCACGGTGTGAACCACCTGGGGTCGGGACATCATCCTTTCCTAAAAATTACCTATACGACCACTATTCGGGTGATAAGGAGGTTGAAGGAGGGGAAAGAACCAACTGCTGGCAACTGCGATGATGGTGATGATGACGATGCTGGTGGCGCGCCTCGAGGTGGCGACGACGCGTGATGACGATGTTGCGCCACAATGTGATGCCACGATCGATCTCACTCAATCGATCTCACAATCGAGCTAACAATCGATCACACTATCGAGTTCACTGTCGATCTCGCAATCGATCGCACTGTATCGCTATCGATTTCACTATCGATGCAACAATCGATCTCACTATCGATCTCACTGCCGCTCGCACGAGCATCTCGGTCGTTATCGATCTCACTATCGATCTCACAATCGATCGGGACATCATCGGGACATCATCGGGACACCACGGCGGGATACCGCGGGACATCACTGGACACCACGGGACACCGCGGGACACCACTGGGACACCGCGGGACACCATCGGGAAACCGCGAGACACCGCGGCTGGACACCCCCCAGCCACGGCGCGCCCACCCGAGGGCCAGACTTTGGCATCCGCATCGTTCTAGCGACGGCGGGATGGTTCCTCTCGCGCGCCCACGGCGAGACACCGCGGGACACCATCCGAACACCGCGAGACACCACGGCGGGACACCCCCAACCACCGCGCCCCCCCCGGAGGGCCGGACTGCTGCATCCGAATCGCCCCAGCGGCGGCGGGGTCACCCCTCTCGCGCGCCCACGCAGCTTCGCCTCGCCCGCACGCACGACACGAACATGAAACCCAAGCCGATTTCCCGGTGGAGGGCTCTCCGTTCAACTGCGATCTCACCCCCCAACCTGCGACCCAGGGACGTACCCGACCCTTTGTACACGTGGGGCCGATACATCCAGGACCACCCATAACATTAACCTTGAAGGGTCCGCAGTTCTCTTGAACGCTTCGCAACAAAATGTCGGACCACGGTCAAATGTGTCCCACACACGGCATCACTATCACAACTCAGATCATAAGCAGGAAAGGGACCACGAGCAGACAAAGGAACAAAACGATGATGCAGAAACACACGGACGAGGGAGAGAATCGGAACAAATATTGCGAAAGGCCCTCCCAGGAGCTCACGAACATGGCGACAGTTGCGCAGTTCACAGGCCCCCCAGGGCCCAGGGCACCGCGAGGTCTAGTCTGGGTTTGCGTGCGGCACAACTCCGCTGAATTTCCCTGGGGACCATTGAAATCGCGACATTTTCGCAATTCGCAGCCTTCCAACGGCGCCGCGAGATCTAGTCAGGGTCTGCGTGGGAACCGCTCCGCTGGACCTCCCAGGAGCCCACGGAAGGCGACAGGGCAAATCGCAGCCCCGCACAGAAGGCGAGGTCTAGTTCTGATCTGCGTGGGACACTACTCCAATGGACCTCCAAGGCGCCAACGAAAGTGGCATCACTTGCGCAGTTCGCAGCCCCCAGGGACGGCGAGGTCTCATTCTGATTCGAGTGGGACACCACTCCGCTGGACATCCCTAGGGCCCGCGAAAGTGGCGACCGATGTGCAGTTCGCAGCCCCCCACGGACGGTGAGGTTGCCCTTCGGATTCCCGTGGGACACCACTCCGCTGGACCTCCCAAGCGCCAACGAAATGGGGACAATGGGGCAATTTGCAGCCCTCCGGGGACGTCGAGAACTCATTTTGACCCGCGCTGGACACCACTCCGGTGGACCTCTCAGGAGCCCACGAACGTGGCGACAGCTTGGCAGTTCGCAGCCAGGTTTCATTCTGATCCGCGTGGGACACCCCTCCGCCGGACCTCCCAGGAGCCCACGAAAGTAGCGACAGCTTCGCTGATCGCAGACCCCCAGAGACGGCGAGATCTCATTCTGATCCGCGTGGGACGCCACTCCGATGGACCTCCCAGGCGCCCAAGAAAGTGGAGACAAGTTAATCGCGCGCGCAGTTCGCAGCCCCCCAAAGGGCGGCAAAATCTCATTCTGATCCCGGTGGGACGCCACTCCGGTGGACATCCCTGGGGCCCGCGAACACGGCGACTGATGCACAGTTCGCAACCCCCCAGGGAGCGCGAGCAGGAGGGAGGGTTCAAGCAGGCGAAAAGAGGAGGAAAAGGAGGAGGGTAGAGAAAAGAGGAGGGACAGACGGCAGGAGGGAGGAGGCGGTAGAAGAAGGAGAAGGAGAAGGAGACGCGCGAGCGGTATTTTATTCAAACGAATACCCAACCAGAAGAGAATTGGGAAAACTGTCGAGGATCATGCGGGAAGCCAAGTAGGCACACAGTCTGCGCTGTTTGGTGCGAGCGTACACCTTAGTATCGATCAAATGATGCACGAGCTGAGCGAACGCATCCATGCAATCCTCTGCCAGCTTGCAATCACGCCCCCTAGCCTCAACATGCCTATGCGATCCATCGCATTTCCTCTCAACTCCTTTGGCAAGAAACTCCGAATTGGTCGCAATTGCCCGTGGTCGTTATTCACATGTTGGCCCTTAATGTTAACAAGACCGTACGCGCATCCATGCAGGCACGCCTTAATCATGTGATGATCGCTGAGAAATGCTTAGACCTGTGGGCCACGCAACTACTGTCACGGGATTGGCCCTTCTAGACAGACAACTCCCGTTCGCATGAACATTTCTTCAGCAAGTCCAAGAAAAGACAACAACAATCTGCGGAAAGCCGGCATATGGCCACGCAGTCTCTTCAGAGCTTTAGGACCACCACTGCGGCGATACATGACTTCGTTAACATATTGCCATGGGGACCCACCCGCACAAGGCTTTGGGCCCCACAGGACGACGCAGCCGCCCAGGAAAATGTGAAATTCTCCTCATTGCGTTCTCTATCCCTGCGCTTGTGGTCATATCTCGCCGCTCCGTTAATCTGATATGACCACTTCGCAGTTTGCAGCCTTGATGTTTTTCCCGTTTTCCTAATCTGCTGTCATCTCGGATATTGAACTCCAGCAATAATCGCCCCGGGCCGGGTCGGCCCTCGAGCGACACCCGACCCCGCGCGCCACGCTCAGCAGCCGCTCCAATCGCGTCGTTATCACGGGCGCCACACGTTCGCCGCGTGACATAATCACGCGGGTATGCGGCAGGCGCCTCAGACTGCGCCTCTTCCACCCCGCCACGCGTGCGTGGCGAGGCATCAGCAGGCGGTTGCTCTTTGTTCTTTCGTTTGGGTTTCTTCGCCGCCTCTTTCCCAACCACTTCTGACCCCAGCGCGATCACCCATCGCGCACCCAACTCGGGCGTCAAGATACCCCCCAGCTTCAGCGGCAAGGCCCTGTCACTGGCGAACAGGGAGCACACGCGTTCCCCATCGCTGGGCGAGCCCCAGAAGCTGGAACCACTACTTGTAGCAAATAAACAATTTTGGCTCATGACGGAGGTTGTTCAAACCTCTTTGCCCCGACGACCGCAGCTTGCTCCCGCGCGGGATAATAGGCCACATCCACGATACCTCGCGCGAACTGCCCCGCCACGGCCGTCGCGTCGATCCGATGAGTCCTCAGAAAACGCGCTAACTTCAGAGATCCCCCTGCCTCGCAGACCTTCACAACTGCTCGATTGCCCCTCATGAACTCAGCTCCCGGGAGCCGCCCAAGGAACACTTCACACAACGGCGGGGCAGGCAGCAATTCTCTCCGAATGGCGTCGTCGGCCGAGGCGATTTCTGCCTCTGGCGCGCCATGCGACGTCGCCGTCTGTCTTCGGGAGTTACAACTCAGCAATGCTCGAGCATTCGATCCCCATAGCTTTGGAAGGGTTCGGGCTGGTGCTACGACGGGCCCTGATGTCACTCGCAAGATCGGCGTCTGGACACTACTTCAATCATACGTCCGCGAGGGAGTCGCCGACCCAAGATACCATCCTAAGGTGCCAACTCGTTCTCACGTTGCACACTAGACGGAAGAGCCCACTTCGCCGCGCAAGACGCAGAGGCACAGACGGCCCCAGCAAGTAACATCTTGCCATCCTTGCACCACGCAATCTCCATCAAGACTGCGGCACACTGGGCTGTAAAACCCGACGGAACTGGCGACCCAGGGCTCTCTGACCCGTCTTCCACGCCAGGCCCGCCGACTCCTGGAACAATATCGGCCGGGCCGGTTGAGGCCACGGACACCATGCAATCTGCTATCGCTTCTTCAGCCGAAGAAACGCTCTCCCCGAGGTCCGCCCCGCCCGTCTTCGAGACTACTCAGCTCGGGGCCGCGTGGCGTTCCAGCCGGAGGATAGTCGGGTGGGTCAGCGTCCGCCAGCTCGGCGTAGAGCGCGACGCGAGACATGAAAGACCCCCGCGTCATATTACATAACTCGCACTTTCCGCTTTGGACCCGGCACACAGGGCTTGGACGGCCCGGCGGCCCCGGGCACACTGACATAGTCAGCCACCTCTTGCGCGGGGCTCGCTGGGGCGAAGAAGCATTCAGAACTGTTCTCGGCGTCGGGGAGACATCGGGAAGCGCGAGACACCGTCTTGCCCTTTCCCCCCGAGCTGGCCACATCGGCCCTGTAGAACAACATCGCGACAGCATTTCTGACGCCGCCCCTGCCATCCGAGACCAACGCACGCAGGCGGCCCCTTGTAACCTTCTGTGGGCCCCGCGGGTCCTCCAGTTCCTCTCAGGCGTCGTAGTCTACAGCGGCTCTCCTACAATCCTCGTCTGAAATCCGCCGACCCTGTCGGCGTGTGGAAGAGGCTTCTCCGTCTGTTCCCTCCTCGGCGAAATTGAGCAACGTCGTAATTGAGTCGAAGGGAAGCCCCTTCCCTTTGATCCCTCCCCCGCCGGGGGGGGGGTCCCAGGGCGGGCCCCGGGGGGGGGCCCGGGTTTTTACGACGCCCCCCGGGGCGGGCCCCCGGGGGGGGCCCGGGTTTGCACGCCGCCCCCCCGGGGAATCCCGGAGCCCAAAAAAGTCCCAAGACGGGCCAAGAGTGCCCAGAGAGGCCACCAAGACGATCCAAGAGGGCGCCGAATCGCCGAACGATCTGTCCAAGACGCCTCGACGGCCCCCAGACGGCCCAAGAGGCCCGCGAGACTCCCCAAGGCCTCCAGGACCGCTCCCGCGAGAGCCCCAAGAGGTACAAGTCGTGGATTTCCCATGCGTTGTTCAACGTTTTTTTTTGCGTTTTCGCCCCCCCCGCTTCCCCACGCGCCAAGACGGCCCAAGAGGCTCCTAAGATCGCCCCGGCGCGGCCCAAGAAGTCTCCGGGAGGTTCTCCAAACGGCCCAAAAGCGCCCCCAGATGGCCCAAGACGCCTCCCAGATTCACAAAAGGCCCCCAAAACGGTTCCAAGAGAGCGCCCAGGCGGGGGACCCGAACGGACATTTCGAACCCTCAGCCCCGAGAAGCTCCCAAGAGGCCCTCCAGGAAGCCCACAGAGGCCCCGAGAGGCCCCCGAGAGGCCCCAAAAACTCTCATAGGAAGCTAATTACAAAACAAACTAGGAAGTTACAAAACAACTGGGTATTCCCTCCTCTTCGACCTTGTCCTCCTCCTCCGCCTGTTCCCCCCCCCCCCCGTCACAGAACGGAGGAGGGGCGCTTTCCCGAGCGCGGCAAGCGCTCTTTCAACGCCTCCGACGTCCGACAGCGCCTCGCAGCCACCGTCCGATCCGGGAGGGCTGGCGCGCCCAGACGACAGGGTCGTCTCCCGGGTCGGCGGCATTGGCCGCAAGGCCTTCGCAGTATACAGACGTCTTCTGAACTCGGCGATTGCGGGGTCAGCGCTACTCCAATGCTGACGGATGCCTGTTGACTCGGACGCGGCGTTGCCCAAGAACCGACCCCGCCCTCTCAGCATAGAAGAACGCGTTTTCGGACAAGTGCCCGAAAACATCGCGCCCCAGGATGTCAACTTCCATGTCTGGATATGTTTAGAGAGGCTTGTAGTTACCGTTCTCCAGTCAGGCCCCGCAGGCAACGACTCTTTGCAACGCCGATCACGGGGGTCGCACCTCGCCCACACTTGCTGGCCAGCTGGCACGGGGTAGGAATGATCGGCTGATCGGGAGTTCCCCCCCTGCATTACGCCTGGGTTTGCGAGGCCATGCTCGGCCGCAGCCGCGCCTTTTCTTGTCTTTTTCTCTGGGGGGAGGAGGATCCAACGCGGCTGGGTCTCCCCCTGGCCAGTCGGCCCAACGATCGGACACGCAATGTTCACACCCAACATATCTTCCGACTTCCGCAGGAGGGCCCATCTCGACCCCCTTCGGCGCCGACTTAGATGGGCTAAGGATAAGAGCCCAACCTTCCCGAATATAGTCCTCTGGCCCAGCCAGATTGAAATCGCCCACGCACATGATCAGGAACAGCTTCAGGTTCGGATGGCAACAGCAGCTTCACCAAGACTGCATCGGCACGAGCCCTTGCGACAGTACGTGCGTCTCGCGGCGCTGCCCCCAATATCCACCGGCGCCTGGGCGCCCACGGGCAGACAGCGCCACGCATTCCTTGCCGACTTGGCGGCCAGGCGTCTGAGAACAGCGAACGGCGCGCGGGCCCCCCCCCCTTGGCCTCGGCTGAGACGGCCCCTCCACCGCGCACCTTCCCGCCCTCTCCCCAGCGGGGCCGGGGGGGCCCCCCGGCGGGGGAACGGGCGACCCCTGGCGCGGAGCGCCCCCCTCCCCACCCGCTCGTCGGGCTGGAGTGGGCTCAGAAGGAAGTTCCTGAGTGCCACCGTCATCCTCGTCCCCCACGAGGTGCACTGGCGCGGGGTGCGCCCCCCCCGGGCCCCAACCGGACCCTCAGGAAAGTAGCCCCCCGCGGCGGGCCCCCTCGCCCCCCCCGCCGCTCAGCGGGTCGAGGGCCCGGCCTCCGAAGTCAAGCCCGCCGGCGCGGCGAGGCTCGCCCGGGCGGCGAACTCCGCGGCCAGTGGAACAGCAACGAAGCCCCCCAGGAAGAACATCGCAGACCTGGCGGCTCCCGAACGGGATTTTGGGCGCGCACCCATCCGAAAAAGACGAGCGCAGCCTGCACCAAAAGAACCCCGGAGGAGAAGAAGAAAGAAGAGAGCACGGCGGGACTCGGACTCGCGTGTTAAATGGTCAGACATTTCAACAGAAACATCAAAGTCTGCCAAACGAGCCCCGGGCGCCGCACGCCGAGATCATTCGCGCGCCCTTGCGCGTGTGCTGGCGGGACACAACCCGTGTCAAAGAATACCAGGCGGGCCACTCTTGCGCGTCGGCCGCGCGCGCGTCGAACTAGCTCCAAAGCCTTCACCACCGACGCGAAGATGCCGTCAACGTCGTCGGCGTGATTCACATCGGCGCCCGCACCGGCCGCGCCGTCGCCGTTGTCAACATCGTCACCAACATCGCTACTACTATCATCGCGTCTACCGTTGCCGACGTCGCCATGATATCGCGCCCGCCCAAGTCGCCGACTCGCACTGAAGTGCCCGCTGGGATGTGCCCAGCGGTCAGCGCCACCGCGGCCGCGTTCGCGCCAAACTACCTGGCCGCTGCGCGCGCGTGCTTGGGTTGGCGCGGCCGCAGATGGACCAGCCAACGCCGAGCACTCATCACAATCGCCACCGCATGTGTTTTTCAAACCAAGTTGCGGGTGGGCCGGTGGGATGATTGCGCACGACCCGTATCCAAAAAAACACGCGGGCCATTCGCGCGCGTCGGCCGCGCGCGCATGTCGAAGTTCTTCAAAAACTTGCATGACCGACGCGAGGACATCACCATTGTTATCGGCGGGCGTGGTCCACAATGTTGCCCTCATTGGCCTTGCCGTCATCATCGCCACCATCGTCACCATCACCGCCCCTCTCGTCATCGTGTCTACCGTCGCTGGCGTCGCCATGATACCGCGCCCGCCCACGTCACCGATTGGCACTGCAATGTCCGCTGGAAGTGCCCAGAAGTCAGAGCCAAAGCGGCCGAATCGGTCACGCCGCACTAGCTGGTTGCTGCGCGCACGAGCATGCGCTGGCTACCGCGGCCGCAGTCATCGCAATCGCCGTCGCATGGGTTTTGCAAACCAAGGTGCGGGTGGGTGGGTGGGGTGTTTGCACGAGCAGTGGAGTTGACAACTTCAAATACGGCAGAATGGATCGCACCACATAGATTGCACCACAGATTGCACCGCATACGATATTGCACCACAGGGATTGCTCGTCGTAACTTACACAACATATATTGTTAGAAACACACTCTTTGGCGCCCACGTTGGCTAACCTATTGTTGTTTCGGATGTACTGCGCAACCGTATGTAGATTGCAAGCGTTCTGCCTTTCAGCTGATCGATCGATTATGAGGCCCCGCGTTGCGCGACGATGCCAACTGCAGTAGAGTTTCTGAAACATACTTGTACCACCCGTGCGCGACCAAGGCCTCCCTCGTTTTCCTGTATGCCCGCCAGTATGAAACATAGAAACATTTCAGACAGAGAAACGCAGGCGCCCAGTGCTCACAATGACTACAATGCATGTATTGTTGCCCTACACTGCCCGGCGGCGCCCCACTGCACACGGCCCAAAGCATCCACAATTACTCCAACAATGCCCGCCCACAAAGTTCGCAGTACGGCAGGTTCGTGCCGTGACGTCGGCGCTGGCTTCTGACACTGCATGGATCGTTCCTTGACAGACCGCGGCTTTCAGATAGCGCGGAACATCGGCGGACTCTGGGCCACTGGCAGCGTTCAACCTGGAACGCCCGCGCCCTGGTCGCGGCCTCGTCAACGCAGCGCAAACCTGCCGCACCCATGGTGCTCACAGCATACAGCGGAGTTGTGGCAGCCCCCTCCGCCACTGGCGGTCCCTTACCAGGAGACTCGCGAACACACTGGTCACACACGCACACACACACACACACACACACACCCTGAGGCCGAATTGAAAAGAAGAAGTCGAATGGGCGGCCCGCATGGAGTGTATCTGAAAAAGGTGGGAAGTTCATCACAGCCTCACCTGCTGCAGAGGCAACCCTGCATCTCCAGCTGGTCGCGGCTGCGAGTACTGAGGCGGCTGCTGCTGTGATGGCGGCGACCCAGAGTGCAGGCTAACCACTGGCGATGGCGACTGCACCTGTGCCTGCACCTGCTGCGGCTGCTCAGGCTCTCCCCGAACTCTCTGCTGCTGCTGCTGCTGCTGCTGCTGCTGCTGCTGCTGTTGCTGCTGCTGCTGCTGCTGCTGCTGCTGCTGCTGCTGCTGCTGCTGCTGCTGCTGCTGCTGCTGCTGTGGCGACGGCTGCTGCGACAGCTGGAGCTGCTGCCGCTGCTGCGCGGGAGTAGCGCGGCCAGCCGCAGCATACGGCGAGTGAGCCTGAGCGGGGGCTGGCAGACTCGCCAGGGCCTGCACGGCAGGCGGGCCTGGCAGCACGGCGGGGGCCTGCTGCTGCCACGGCTGCGGCTGTAGCTGCAGCTGCTGCTGCGGCGGCTGCTGCGGCGGCTGCTGCGGCTGTGGCACCGCTGGCCCTGGTGGAGGCCACGGGGCACGGTCCTGCGGGCTGGCCGCCGCGGCCACCAGAACCGGCACCGTGGGGTCGGCCAGCGGCGGCGGCGGACTGGGGGCCGCGCCCGAGCCGCTGCTCCTGTGCTGCCCCAGTGCCTCGCCGGGGCTGCCGAAAGGGGCTCTGGCACGGGTGCGACGAGGGAGGCCACGCCAGTGCTACAGTCGGGGCGCTGCCCTCAGGATCGAGAAAGCAGGCACGGAGCGCCCTTCTCCCCCAGGAACGCCGGGGGCGCTCGCCACCAAAATGAAGGGGCCCTGGGACACACAAATAAATACAAATAACCGGATGTCCCATATTTTCCCATACTTTCTGGGTTTTTGCCTCCCCCCCCACTTCCCATATTTTCCCATGTTCTCCTGGGAATCGACGATGAATTGTGTCTGTGTGTTCCTTCCCCTCCTGAACCAAAAAAAAGGGAGCGGAGCGCAGGCAAGCCCAGGGAACGGCCGGGGCCCTGCCGAGAAGCCCGTGGACGACCTTGTTCCGCGCCCCGAGACCGTGTGCGCCCCCCCCCTTGGAGGCGCACGTCCGAGCCGAGCACGTAGCAAAAAAGCACAGGTTTGACGGGGCCCTGGGTCGGCTACACGCAAGAGTGGCCCCGGATAAGAGTGACCTTTGGCGCGCGGCTTGTTGGGGGCCGCGGCGGGGACCAGTCCTGGGCGCGCAGGCCGCTGCTCCTGCCTCGTGTTCGGCCATCTGGGGGCCCATCTGTGCCCGCACCGGAGGTCACTCCGGCGAAAGGTCACTCTTACGTCTAGTCGACTGGGACACGAATGAATATAAATAGACACAGACAACAGGACTCCCAATGTTTCCAAACATTTTCTCGGTCTTCGTCCTCCCCCCCCACCTCCCATATTTTCCTGGGAAGCGACGATAAATTGTGTCTGTGTGCTTCTCTTTCCCTCCTGAATGTTGGGATACCGCTGCCGGGCGGTGTGCCCAGAAAGCGCCCGTCACCGAGCAGGTGCTGTCGGATCTCCGAGCGGCACACACGTTTGGCGGCGAGCGAGGCGGGAAGCGAAAAGGAGAGGGCCTTCTCAGAAGACGGCGGGGCTTCTCGCAAGCCCTCTGGCCTTCTGAGCTGTCTGCGTCTTCGGGGAAGGCTCAGAAAACTTCTCAAAGGCCGGGGGACTTCCGAGCTTTCTAAAAAGGCCCGCCCCCTCTCACTTTCACTCCTCGCTCGCCGCCGACACGTAGCATAAGTATGATAGTGCGATGCCCAGGGGGCTGTCGTGGGTGGGGAGCAGATCCACATCAACTGCCTCGCGGTCCTGGGCCATTGCTCGGCTTTGCGCGGGTGTCCCGCGCGGAAGGTGTCCATGGGGTCCCGTGTCCGTGGAATCGCGCCTCGGAATGGATGTGGACGTGCTCGTCGCGCGTGGGACAACAGCCCTGCGGGACCCCCCGAGAGAGTTCTCAAGGCGACCGCGCGGTCCGGGAGCGAAATCCACGATCCCACCGCGGCCTGCTCGAAATCTGCTCGCCGGGAAATCCTCACCCTTCTCCATCATTTTCTTGTGTTCCCTGGAAGTCACCGTTGCGAGTGCCAGTCCTGGCACGGAGCACGGGCCAGAACGGTCCCTGACATGAGAGAGGAGCGTCCACTTTTGGCCTGCAGTGAGGCTTCTGTGCTCCCAGCCACCACTCCTCGAATGCCCACTCCCCCGACCTTCCTACTGCGAGTCCACTCATCAGAATACGTGGGAAGCGGCGAGGAGCGGCGCTGGCGCTGAAGAAGGCCGACGGGGGCACGAGAAATCTCACCAGCCCTCTGGGCGTGAGTGGTCTCCCTCTTTCAAAAACCGAAGGCCCCGGGAGTTTTTGTTGGTCGGGGGGCGCAGCGTCCGGACGCCCGAGATTGCCAAAAATGGCTCCGAGAGGGCCTCCGATGCTCCAAAATGGCCTCCAGGGCGACTCGGCATAGCCGAAAATGGTTCAAGATGGTCTCTGACATACCTCCAAGAGGCCCGACGACGGCCACAAGACGGTTCCAAGCGCCCTCGGAGCCCCCGAGGAGGCCCAGATCCTTACAAAACCTAGAGAAATCGATGCGCTTCTAAGATCTCAAGATGGGCCCAAAGTGGCCCAAGAGAGGCCCAATAACGCTCCAAGAGGGCCCCAAGCAGGCCCCAAGAGGCGATTTTGAGGGCTCCAGAAAGGAGAGGCAAATCGAGGACCCCCCCTTTTGATCGACTGCCTCCAAGATCACCCCAGGAGGCCCTCCAGGGCTCCCAAGACGGCCCCAAGAGAGCCCCAACAGGGCCCCAATTGGGCCCCAAGACCTCCCACAAGAGCCCAAAGAGGACCCCAAGACCCTCCAAAAGGGCCCCAGAAGGACCCCCAAGGGACCCCGAGAGAGCCCCAAAGGGGCCCCAAGAGGGCCTCAAGAAGACACCCAGATGGCTGTCAGAGTCCTCCTCCTCGTTTTCCTCGTTATCGTCCTCCTCGTCCTCTCCTCCTTCTCTCCTCCTCCGCCTCCACCTCCTCCTCCACCTCCTCCTCCTCCTCTTCCACATTTTCCTCCTCCTCCTCGTCATCCTTTTCGAGCTTGTCCTCTTCCTGGTCCTACTTCTCGCCCCAGTCTTCGTCCTC